TCGGTACCATATTACAATTTAGATTGTTATAAATTTAAAAAAAAAAAAACAATTAATGAAAATTGTCCTTTCTAATAATTTATATCTTTATGTAAATTTTATTTAACATCCTAAATTATACTAACAGGAGCAATTAAAAAATTATGAAATTTCTAATACCTATAATGATTACTACAAAATACAAAATGGTATTAAAAGATAATTCTAAATTTACATATAAAAGTTTATATAAAATGTATTGTAATATAATCACACACTTGTTCTTTTATAATTATTGATTGAATAAAGTATAAATAGTTTAGATATTTCTATCAAGGTATAAAATTGAAAATAAGTAATATGAAAAACATTAAAAACATTTTATAATAACCTGAAGGAAACCGTGTATGTACTATTTAAATTTATTAATGAATCTCGTTGAAACTTTGTAAATAAATTATGTACATTTAAGACATATGAGACAGAGCCACCAGTTATTTAATTTTGTATGCAAGGCACTTAATATATCAGTGTTTCTCAAACATTGGCAGGCTGGAATATAATAATCTTTTATATGGGATAAATCAATAAACTTAAAAATCTACTCAAACACATCAATGTATAAAAGAGAAAAGAAAAAAAAAAAAAGTAAGGAAACAAAAATGATCACAGCTACACGTTTATGTTTGTTCACTATTTTATCAATCATGTAAAATTATACTACAAAACACATAATAAATAGAAAAGAATAAATAATAAATTTTGTATGTCAGTGTATTTAAAGCATTTGAGTTTCAGTGAATAATCTACATAACGCCGAAGCATGCACATTTATAGTGTAGTTTCGTTTTGATTTGGGAAATGCAGCTGTGTAATTTGTCATACAATAAGCTAAACTTAAGTCTATACCACGCTGCTGTGATCTCACCTTGAATTTGTTTTCACTCCTGCCTCAAAGTCTGAGACACGCTGATATATAAAGTTTGAAGATCTAAATTTGCTGAAATGAGAAAGAAACTCTGGTGTAACTCAGTGGAAATTCATGTACAAGATCACCCTATCCTGTGTCCCTGCCATTCTGTCTGTTTGCTCCTTGCAAATAAATTTATAAACCTTTATTTTGAATCCACTTCCCAAAATATTTATATGAAATTTACAGTAATTCTTTTGTCCGTAAAAAAAATTAATTATTATTTAGCGTGTTATTGTAGAAAAAAAAAAGAAAAACAAAAAATGCTGTAACATTGTATGTTTTTTAATACATGTATTATATTAATTCATTTATAATCTGAAAATAAAACATAATATTGTTCAAAACATAACTTTCGCCTTTTCCTATGTTAAATGTTTCTTATAAACATACCTGTACAAAAATGAATTAGTGTCCAGCATTATCATTAGTAAATTTATCCCCAATTTCTACTAAACTACTAAGATTTAATAGTTGTTATTATCTACATAATAGAAATTATACAAACCCGTTAACGGAACGTTCGGAAAAGTGTGTATGTTAATCTAAAACTATACTTATATTAAAAGTAAGTTATTGAATTCGAAAACATAATGTAATAACTTTAAACAGATTTTAAATCTAAGCAATTGCATGTATAAGTGGCTGAAACAAAATGACACTGTTTATTGCAGAAACACGTAAAGCATCTAAAACTACAAAGAGATATGTGAATTTTTATGATTATTAATGTACAAGCACTTTGCTTAATAAATTATATTTCAAACCAATTTAAGTAATTATGTGAAGAATAATTAAACGTTTTTATATAAGAATAATTTACTTCAATAATGTTTTCGAAAATGTATTTAAATTTGGAAATACATGTACATTCAACCTTTACTTTATGGTATGAGAATTGAATTGCTAACAGAAACAATTATAAAATTGACTCCACTGAAGACTCCTATACCTAATGCAATCATTTTCACGCTTTTGAGAAGTTTAAGAATATATTTTCCCCGATACACAGCTGTTGTTATAAATAAAAAACAATAAATAAAATGAATTTCAATATTTCTTATTAAAAAAAAAAAAAAAAAAATATTATTAAGTGAGTGAAATTAGTCATTATTTATAGCTGATGATCACATTCAGCAAATATAATAGAACATGTAGCATATTTCTATAATTAATATTGTCAAATAAACAAAAGAATATGTCAGTAAAAAGTGACATTCACTAAAGACAGATGAAAAAATACATGTGCAAATGTATTACTATGTATGCACATCGTGCTTTTGTGATTGGCAAAAGTATGAGATGATATCTGACACACAAAGTTGTGTATGTATTTCAAAATTGCTATATGTAAAATTGATTAAATATTGTATATACAATCACAACTGTAACATGGAAATGAAAACATTTGTAGTGTGACTACATGACATTCATGAAAATTATATGATGTTGAAGCAAACATATTAATTACTGATTGGAAATCTTGTGAATTTTTTCTGCCAGTAAATGCAAACCACAGACAGGATGGTAACCAGGACAGTGTATGGATAGGGGCAGGTATTAAGTATCACAAGATTTTTTGTTAATTGCAACACCAAATCTAATAGTTTACTTACCCCCCAATTGTTTGAAGTTTAGTGGATTCAAGTTGACGCGCCGCTTCTTCCGTTCTTTTCAAAAGCAACACCTGTAACACACAGCAAATATTGTACATTATGTAATGGTAGATAATGTATTTATATTTGTAACATATTTGGATAAAAACAATTGTTGATAATTTTATATCATTACACAATATTACAAAAAATAGGTAAATTAATTAAAATCAGTTTAATAATTCACCTTTTGCGATAAGTTTCTAAAGTGCATTTCTTGGAGCATGCTACTGTGACGATGTAAATTTTCGTGACGGGAGATGGCCAGCAATACTCCTCGTTCAGGCACATATCGGCACACTGCCGCCCCTATCGCTTTTTGAAATTCCTTATGTGCATTTTCCATTTTGGCACTATAAACATTAAATAACGCAATGAAATATACATATCCCTAAGATTTTTTAATTTGTTTAAATAAATTACTTTAAATCTTAGATGCATACAATTCTCTTAGATCTTCAGGTACTTCAATTTCGATCTTGTAAAACGTATTTTTATCAATAGGGGGATTTGGATTTTTTGCCCTTAGTCGCTCACTAGCTACAATTTCAGTATAAGCACACTCCCACCCAGAATATTCAACTACTTGAAAACCTCCTTTACTCATCTGAAACAATAGTTTTAGTATTTAAACATTTATACATAAAGTTAATTAAAATTTATTATTTAAATGCAAAATTTAAGCTACAATAAAAAATTGTATAAATAGCAAATTTAATAAAGATTACATATCTTTCTTTATTTTTATAAAAAAAATATCAGGAAACATTAACTGCTATAATCTAACCTTAATGACCGCTTTCCACCATCCCCATGCTTCATGCTCATTGGACCTAGAAAATACCTCAATCTCCTGGTTCTCCTGAAACTCAGATTTTGGACCATCTTTTGGAGGTAGACGTACTTGAGCAAATGGAAATTTTGATTCTGGTTGCCAACTAAAAAGAAAATACATTTTTGTTATTACATTATATGCATATAATTATTTTGCACAATATTATAACACCTCCCATATAAAACTACAATGCAAACATTATGATCAATTCTGCTCTAGTATATAAAGACATGTTGATGCATATATGTAAATTTAAACATATTAAAGTTGTAAGTTCTGCTATAGTAAATGTATATATTGTTACTCTTACTACCTCTCTAGAGTAAAGTAGCTTTTATTGAATTGTATTTATACATTGTATTATATTCTATTTAAACTTGTGATACATAATCAAGATATAAAGGAAAAAAGGAAAGATAATCTTTTCATCATTTTTTGTGTACATTGACTTCTATCGATATCGTTGCCTACAAAGATTTAAATAAACTTATTTTAGTTAATAAAGCAAAATAACAACTTGTAAAATCAAGTGCTTCAGACATTGAAGATTCTTCATAACATTTACAAACGTTTTAAAAAATTTTATTGTTAATACACAAAAATAAAGTAATACATATTAACAAAAGTATGAAAACCCTAAGAGCTAAACATTGACGCTAAACAATAAACATAACAAGTTTATATTTTTGTTATTTGTTGTTTAAACTATGAAAAATATTAGTTTCCATATAGCTGATAAAAATAGTAAAATTCCTGTGCGCGAGAGATTACACTGTTTTACCAGAGTGCATCAAAGGTATACCTTCAGATGTAACAGTATCTAAATTGCTTTCAAAAGATGAGAAAAGAAACTTACTCATTTTCGAAAGTTACCAGAACCTCGTCTTCAAAGACATCGGTGACAAAGGCCTGAAAAAAATGAAACGTAAAGCGTGTAAAGTCACTCGTTCAGGGATCAAAAGTGTAGCGAGTGGCGTAAGACATTCAGACATAATATCATGATGCTTTCGAGATAGCCGCAAGAGCGATGTTTCTATAATTTCGACATTAGGTAAATACGTTTTCGTAGAAAGGGAAAACGTTGATAGGAATCGCAACATCAAAAGCTAACGAAAATCACGCCCTGTCAAACGAGACATGGCGTCGGAGGAAGCCGCGTTACCTCGCGAACATTTGAGAGCCGCGCTTTCGCGAAGTACGGGCGTCTGTTTTGTGAGATTAGAACCGCGCCACGGGCCGTGAGTTGGTCTATCCACGGCCTCAATCTTCCGCCCTGTTTTTTGTATACTTTTCACAGAACGAACCTTATAATATGCTCCGTTTTCGCCGCATACTTCGACTGTGAGATCCTCCATCTTGCTTTTGTGTGACGGCTCGCCTCCTTTGCAGCAGGCATGCTGGCGAGCGGGCAGCTGCACGAGTTCGAGGCTGCAAATTCGTTCGAGGTTCACCAATCGCACAACTCTTTTCCATGACGCAGCCTCTTTATTGGAGGGACTCATGCAGTGTTACCACTATTGCATCACTAATTTACAACTGAAAGAACTAGAATAATTGAAATACGCCACCAGAGTACATTCAGCACCAGCACGGAGCTGTGGCACTTGTGTAACCGCTATTACAAGTCAAATCATGACTTCGTGCCGCTTACCATCATGTAGCCGCTTCTACCTGACCCTAGTGTTCGCGATTTTGCGAAACGCGTGACGTGCCTTGACAGTACCGATGCGGACAAGAGTATTATCACCAATTATTCAGTGCAGACGACAATGTCTGGAAGTAGCGATTCCGAAGAATTTTTCGATGCGGAGGATGATACTTTCCACCGCAGTACACGGTAATTTCACCAATTCTCGCTCTGTCATTCGATTGAGACAAAAAATTTAAATACGATTTTTCTACATATTTCATACGTTTAATGGAAAATAACATTTTTATATAAATTCCATAACTATTTAGATGTCTTTTTTAAATAATAATTAGTAATAATAATAATAAAACTTAGTCAAGGATTTTCATAATTTTGAACCTTCCGAACTTAAGTTTCGCTCAAGTTTTAGGTATGCACAGTAGTTTAGTCCAGATCATCTTCTTCTGTATGGTCTTTTTGTCATATCATATTCCTTGCCAATTATCTTTGGTTAGGTCCGAATTTGAGCACTTACATCAGTCATTCACGCGATGGTAGGCAACTATTTCAGGGCCGGCGTTTGCAATTCTTCTAAGGTTCTAATTATCAGCATTGTAGAACGAAAATTGAAAAACAACTTTGTTATTATATAATTATAAGATTTTCGACCGTGTAATAATAAATCATCCGTTTTTATTTAAACGAGTTAATTTCTAATAAGCTTTTATATAGTCATAAACATAAATTTGATATATATTTTTATGTACTATTTAAAAATAAGGATGTAACAAAACGTCTGTAAAATTAAATAAAATTTACTTTATATTTGCATTATAAAAATTGTTTTCCCTTGTGATTTCTTTTTAGAAAAAGTAAACAACGCGATTCCATCAGCATTGAAATACAAACTAAGGATAGATCAGATGTTTGCAAAAAATCAGATGATGATGTTTTTGTGGAACCTGCTCAACCAAAACCAATTGTAGAACCAAAGGAACATGTAACCATAGAATGTACACTTAGTAAAGATAAACCTGTAAGTATTTATCAGAATTGAACTACCTGATACTTGATACTGTGAAAGGTATTTAATGAAGAATGTTAATTGTTTCAGGATGAAGATGGAAAAGAAACAAGTACAGATAAAATTGTGGGAAGAAGGAGATTTCGTGAACTTAGACAACGCATGCAAACAGAGGATGATGATATTCCAATTAATAGTTCTCCTCCGGATAGCCAGACATCATCCATTGAGGGTGTATATCCTACTCCTTCAAAGACAACGCATCCATTTAGAATCATAGAGCATGATACTCTTAGTTTACAAAGTATGACATCTTTAGGACGAGTGGGTCGAATTTTAGCTGGAGCTGGGGACAGTGCTTCTGCTATAATTCCACCGAACGTAACTCAGTGCCCCCCTTCGGCTACCCTTACCCGCGAAAGCCAGATGTCCTCGATTGCTAGTATCCCCAGCAAAGATGAGGACACAGCATCGGGTAAGGTGTCCCAGTCCTCGAGCATCTTTACGTTATCAGGGGATATCCTTCAAGAGGAATCCTCTGTTAACAGTAGGTCCAGTCATTCTTCTCACTCACAAAATGATAAGACTGTTATGCTTCAAGAACCTGATGTCATCGCTAGTACAAAAAATAATGGAAAATCAAATGAAGATATTACCGTGGCTGGAATACCTGTTGCACCGCCTAGACGTAAAAAAAAATCAAAAGCGCAAACGCCTACCGATCTTGCTGTACGATATTTATTATTTAATTATGATATAAAAGATATTTTTTTTAATGATCCAAAAATAATCACGAATAAAATGAATAAATATTATTTTACAATTTTAGCCTAATGCACCAGAAACAGCATTACCCGCTTCGCCGTTACCAAGCCCGGCAAGTACTATTGAATCTATCACCAGAGAATTTGAACATTCTCTTGACATTCGGTCTGCAACAAAGGGGCAATATGTTGTTAAACCACAAGTTCGTCTCGTAATATACTTGTATAAATATAATTTACTACATCAAGAAATATGTGTAAATATTTACTATCGTGGTATCTTTGTAGGATGAAGATAAATCAAAAGCTGAAGGCCCATCAACTGAAGAGTTAGAAAGGCTAGAAAGAATGAAAGCTGAGTTAATGAGTATAAAATCAAGTGACAAATCTAGCAGCCCGCTAGGATCCATGTCCAGTAACAGTATCGGCCGTTATTCCTTAGGACCTCACAAACTTTCGGGCTTAAGTCCCCAAGGTTCGAAAGAAAGACGAAAATCAGCTGGCGACCAGGATATGGTCAAACAGTTAAATATGTTTGTGAGAACAAGAACAGATTCCGGAAAGCGTCTAACGGACATGGTACAGTAGTAATTAAATAATCGAATACATTTGAAATATCCGCATGTTACTAACGATGGTACGTTAATTATCTTTTCAGGAAATCTTGGAGCAAGTCACTGTTCTAAATTTAGATACTGGAGAGAGAGTGCCATTAAGTATAGCGGAAGATAAATTGCCGCAGTGTATTAATCCTCTGTCACTTCATATTATGAGACTTACTTCGGAATACATAAGTAATTCTAGTTTGGAGAAAGAAAAGGAAAGTGACGAGGAAAGTGTTGATAGCAAAATGTCTAGTATACCGCCGGATGAAGATGTATCTGTCGGGAGGGTTCGAAAGAAAACCCAAAAATTGAAACGATTCTTGGGTTCCACTGTGAAGAAAACAATGGACAAAGCGAAATCTATCGCGCAAGAAGTATCTCATGCGAGACATAAGGAAGATGTTATGGATATAGTAGACGAAGTATATCCTGGCGAACAACAGTACATCAAACTAAAAGCGTCCAATAGTCACAAAGGACCGTACGAGTTTAGTTGTTTGCAGCATGTCCAGGATCTGAGCGGCGAGCACGTTGGTCCTGTTTGGTGCATGAAATTCTCTGTTTGCGGACGATTACTCGCCACAGCGGGGCAAGATCGAGTTTTAAGAATCTGGGTATTGCGAGATGCTTTCACGTATTTCCAAGATATGCGAACTAAATACAACGCTGAGAAAGTTAGTCCAACACCTTCCCAAGAATCATTGGTCTCTCAACAGTCTATGGAAGATCCAAACGTCGTGGCTAGTGCCTTCAGCGAAATAGAAGGAACTAAAAGCCCATTCATGCCAAAGCCGTTCTGCACTTACACGGGGCATACCTCGGATTTACTCGACGTTTCATGGTCTAAAAATTATTTCGTTCTATCGTCGTCGATGGATAAAACCGTGCGACTTTGGCACATATCACGTAAAGAATGCTTATGCTGTTTCCAACACATCGATTTCGTTACGGCGATAGTGTTTCATCCTCGCGATGATCGTTACTTTCTTTCTGGATCATTGGACGGGAAACTACGTTTGTGGAACATACCGGACAAGAAAGTAGCTGTATGGAACGAAGTCGATGGACAAACTAAACTGATAACCGCAGCGAATTTCTGTCAGAACGGAAAATTCGCCGTAGTTGGTTCGTACGATGGCCGATGCATATTTTATAACACGGATCAGTTGAAGTATCACACGCAAATACACGTTCGATCGACCAGAGGGAAGAATTCGACCGGAAGGAAAATTAGTGGTATAGAACCTATGCCGGGGGAGGATAAAATTCTAGTTACTTCAAACGACAGCCGTATTCGCTTGTATGATTTACGAGATTTAAATTTATCATGCAAATACAAAGGTTACGTCAACGTCAGCAGTCAAATAAAGGCAAGCTTCAGTCCTGACGGACAGTATATAGTTAGCGGTTCGGAAAATCAGTGCATTTATATCTGGAAAACTCATCACGATTACTCGAAATTCTCAAGCGTACGCAGAGATAGGAATGATTTTTGGGAGGGTATCAAGGCGCATAACGCAGTTGTTACATGCGCGGTGTTTGCACCAAATCCAGATAGTATTATTAAACAAATTGAAGAAAGAGAGCAGTGGGAAAGTAAAGAAGACGGGAAAAATTTAGGTGGTTCAACCGTGGACGTACCTCCCGTTGATCCTGTCGTTGAACAGCGCACTAAAGGCTGTGGTGGACACGTTCTTGTAAGTGCTGATTTTAATGGCTGTATAAAGGTTTTTCTAAACAAAACGAAACCTAAGCATAGTTCCCTACCAGCATCTGCTCTCGCGTAACATGATACTACATTGATTTGTGCACTATTGCTAATGATATGAAATTAATAAGAACACCAATATATATTTTACCTCAGCGAGTTACGTAGCTCTCACTGTACGCTATTTTTTAAGATAAACGCGGCTGTACTAAATCTTTCTGAAAACAGAATATTTTGAGATGCATGCCAAAAAAGGCTTACTTCACGATAAGAAAGCTTCAAAGATATAGTTAGTGATACCTAAAGTACCCAGAAATTGAATGCTCAGATAATGTATCGGTTTTCCTTTAATTTTATTGATTATCATTATTATTAATAACAAGCACTAAAACGGTTCCCTTTCATTGTAAATTAAACAAACATTTTACATTGATATTATTATAATTTCTACTAAAGCTTTAAGTAAGTCATATAAAATACATAGTTTTATAAGATCTTGTATTTTTAACACTTTTTTAAATTCGACATTATATTTTTATTGATTTTTCCTTATTTGTATTATATATTTTTCGGTGCTGGTCCACTGGGATCATATATAGTTTATACATGCAAACTTTGCCAAAATTATGTTAACAAATATACAGTCAACGTGGAATTGTTCATTTCGATTAATTTATAAACAAAACAAAAAATAAAAAAAAAAAAAACGAAAAAAAAAAAGGAAAGAGCACCTTGGTGAAGAAACAAAGTATAAAGGACAAGCATGCAAGCGATGGCCGTATAGAGTAACAATTTCAAATGAATTGTATGGGTAAAATCATTGAATTAATACCTTGGTGATTCGTCGTTAAACAAATGTTGGATAACACCTACAAAGTTTAATGAAAATCAAAGTGGATTTTCAAATCCTAATGGTTTCTAAAATAATGTTCTAGAACTTTACCGTGATAAGATAGCGTAATACATCGAAGACAATATATATTATATATATAAATATTTAAAAAGAACAAAAAAAAAAAAAAAACAACAACAAAGAAACAAGATAAAAAGATGGTTAGAAGTTGAAACGCATCATCGTTAAGTTTTTCTACGAACGCAGTTCATATTTTAGAAATTAATTCCGAAAGTTTATGCATCAGAAACAAGATTATGATTCAACAGATATATTAATACACGTATCATGATTTAACATTTGCGCTCCTGTATAAAGCGCACTGTAACAATTTAATTTAACAAGGGATGATCCCGAAAGCGGAGATTCAAAAAATTATGAAGCTTTATGAATATGTTTGCTGCTCTCGTTTTCAGTCGAAGGGGATGAAAATCGTCTGTAAAACTTGGCCAGTTTTAAATGTAATTTTCAAAACAAGCAAAGTTTTAAAAACGATTTACACCCCCTTAGTTTCATAACTTTGTTGAATTTCCGGTTTCGGGATCATCCCTTGTGAGATAACGCGAGCGCAAGTTGCTTCTTTATTATAAACATTATTACGTAGAAGATTATTATTAACGCTCACACAACTCGCTACGTTCAATGTTCGACAGTATCTCCTGTCGTGGTTGATTTTGATCTGATTTGAAGGTGTTGTACGAAAATACCTGTTTCGCAATGTGTCAATTATAGCTGCAGAGAATATATATATGTATACCCTTGTACACGAGACAACGGTTCAGTGTTGTTCGAAACTCTGCATTTTACGATTCTCTATGTATGTATTTGATAAATTATGTCTTGGAAGATGATGCGCTATTCGGTCGCGTGTTGAAGTACGACGATCGTAGACGCGAACACCTTTTATGGCCGGTACGTTACAACGGTCGTAATGTCGCGAAAACGATCGTCACGATATATGTATTTTATTTATATCGTGAAATTCAATGTAAATACGCAGAAAAAGAAGAAAATGTAGGTATTTTGTGTAAATGCAATTGTAAATATATATTATTCGAGCGATAGCGTAAATCGCTTATTAACGACATTGTCATTCCGACAGCGGCGTGCACAAAACTATTGTTTGTGATCTCGTAGTAATCAGTAATCATGTAATATATTTAATGTATTAATAGTATATTCATGTATGAAACATGTGTCTGTTTTTTAAGTTGCCGTCACACAGCAATATACATAAAGTTTACATCAATCATTAGAAACGTGTTTCCTGTGTATTTCAAACCCTCGTACGTTATGACGAATCAAATTAATTGCATTCAAGATTTTCTATCCGATAGAAAACGATCGAAACTCGGTTCATTGTTATTGGTATTATTCAGAAAACGTGCGTCTCTGGTCATATATACAGAGGAGAAACCGAATAATGATGGCTGCTAATAAGATTCCATCCATTGTTGCACACAAAAGCACGAGTACCGGCTGGTACTCACCTATAGGTCAGCAATGTGTGTACGGTCAGTCGGTCGGTCGGTCGGTCGGTCGGTCGGTTGACTGTCGGCTGATTCACCCATTTACTGCATCCATACGTCTGGCTGCATGTATGCACATTTACCATTGCACTGGAAGTCGCACGCTCTCTCGAAAATCACAGACAATAATAATATTACAGTAGACTCTCGTTATATTGCCGCGGCGAGGGTAAAAATTTGTTAAGCTTTCAAACTTTAATTAACTAATCATTTACCATAATGCTATGCGGCCCGACTATTCGGGTCGATACATACGATGCACATCCATTGCCACGAGTAATTAGAATGAAAGTGCATTACACGGCTAAATGGAGACGTAAAGTTTATTGTACAACTTCGAGGTTTCCGGAGATAGGATTCGAGAAGAATTACCACCATGGTACTTGACATTCCAAACCCTACTTCCCTGATGTATAAAGTTATCAATTGATTTCAGTATCATCTAATAGACGAGGGTGGCAGGCAGACGTAAAGACTTTAAGGACGCGCGTCTCGACGGGCGTCGCGTCGTACGTCTGGCGACAAGTTGCACGCATACAAGCGACAAGAGGGACAACGATAAGGACAAGAACGACGAATAGGAGCACGACCGCGACCACGTCCACAAGAATCGTGGTCGTGGTCGTAGTCGTCAGGAGTGTGGCTGGTACGAGAAGAGATATCCTCCGGTTCGTGAGGGACCTATATAACTGTACCGTGTGTCTGGGTCAGGGGGCGGGCCGCCACGTTTATAGTATACTCTCTATATCGGACAGGTGTACCCCATTCCGAGTCCACGAGTTCTCGCGTGCACCATCGAGCCCCAGCCAGCCAGGCCGGCAACGCGTCTTTCTAGCTGCCGCGAACAGATATTGTGGCTGATCGCTGTAAACACGAGCAGATCAGTCCAGTCGCACGGCCAGCCTCCGACGACACTTAACGAGTCGTTCGGAAGAGCATCAGTCGGCCGCAAGCGGTTTCCAAACGTCTCTTCGGTCCTACCTCTTCGCGCGTTCATCGCCGGTTTCGTCCCCGTTTCCGCCACTGAAATCGGTCGAGATCAACTGACTGTGCTTTAGAGAGCCTCCGACCGCGCGGGTACGCGGAGATTTCTCGGCACATGGTGCTTCAATCAGTGAGGTGCGTCCATCGAATTCTCCTTCTGTTCATTGTTGCACATTTCTGACACGGAATCCGGGACCAACCACGCTGTTTCTTCACGTCCGCTTCCTAATTGAATACACGTAAGATACAGATATATATATATATTTTTTTTCAATTTCATCCTGTGTTTCATTGAAGCTATAGTAAGAGGACGAGGAGATTTATAGTCGGTTGTTGAATCATTAGGAAGCGATGTAACTCGATGGGTATTCGATGCACGTTGCAACACGAGAACTTTCAATTAGATTTAAATCGACGCTATGTCGTTCTACGATCAGATAAGCGATCGAACACGGTATTCTCCGGATGTATTTATCATACGATGCCACCGATTATCGAGTAATTATCGTGTGTCTCGGTTATAATCCAATTATCGTCGCATCATTGATTAAGCTATTATTTACAGCGAGGCCATCGTCGTTTCAGTTGCTCTAACGCGTCGGTAATAACAGGAGCTGTGAGTCCTGGAGAAAATTGTACGAGGTGCCGTAGGGTATGCACCGCATTAGAGTCAACCACGTGGTCGAACGCTTTCATTCTATCGAATGTGAGCAACAGCTGTCGGCTCTGATGCTGGCTCGATGCTATTCTTGCGATGTTAGTATGGAAATCATCGACATCTGTGTGCGCATCTTACCATTTTATTTTCTTTATCTCTTTCTACCACTTAACGTTTTTTCCCTCATTCAAACGGAACTCGTGCGAGCGATGACGTTAGATCTTGATTTAGAAATCACGTTGCTGTTCGAATGCAACATTGAAGGCAAATGGGGGGTAGAGGTCGTCGATCTATACTTGTATCACGTCGAGATTATCTATTTGATTTTCTCTATCGTTATTACGGAAAGGTACAACGGGGTTGACCGTGGTCGAGCAACTAGATCGTGAATGACGATAGTCGTAAATTCCAGTGCATAGTAAACGAGAAAAGTGGATTGGTGGCCGGTAATAACGGTATGCGATATTCATTCACTATGTGCCATCGATTGCCAGTTATCTCTACGATCGATCAGCAATGCGACACCTTTACAACGAAAGTGCATCGAGTTGCCATCAAGTTGTCAGTTTATTTCGTTACGCTCGATTACCATACGCTCGTTATATTACAGATAGAGTAATGTAGATCGTCAATTTATCATCCGTTTCTTAGTCTTACTATCATTGATTACTAACGAGTTTATTCCCACCTTGGAACGAACAAATTTCGCATGTCTTAGACGTTCAGTTCGTTAAGACGACAACAAGAACCGCCGGATTACCAGGGGCCCTCTTCTAAGCCTTCCATTTAACTTAACCCTCGGACGGTGGTCCCTATTTAACTTCAGATTTATAAGTTTGGCTCACGATTCACCCTGGGAATAAATTTCAATTTTTCAACCAAATAGGGGGCCTCTAAAGTTTTAGTAGCCAGGGTCCTCCAAATACCTTAATTCGGTCGAAACGACAAGTAGTCTTTTTTACTTACTTGACCTTCATATTTTGGTTATTCTTAAAAGAAAAAAGGAAGAAGGGGTATTCAACGTTCGAAACCCCGTTACGCATTTCAATAGTAGAAGAGTTCAACGTGCAAACTTAAAAATGTTAGCCTTCGTTGATTTGTAAGTGTGCCGATCAAAAGGAAAGGGGAACGAGAAGATATTTCGACTGCTTTCTATATGGGTCACTATTAGGTACGCACTCATTATGCGAATGCCTGACTTCGGAATTACCACACCGGTGGAACCGTTATATGTATTTGGCACCATGCCACATCTTCGGCGTGCCCGATTCATGGTTAGCATGGAACAACGGACGTGTAAACAGCCGGCGGTGATTTTTATTCAACCACGGTCCTGTCAGTGAAAGAAAGAACAGGTGTCGCGGTCTATCGTGGCACGAATCGCTAAGTGGAATAATAACTAATGTATGCTGGTACCTAATAAAACGAGTGCTCGTAACATCATTGTTCTAACGGAATTCGACATAGATCCACCGATGCTGGATCGTAATTAACCATCTATGCGTTCAATGCACACAATTTCACAAGGGAACGTATTAATTACGCTACAATGTACGAACCTTTGCGTTGTGATCGCGTTACACTTTCGATCTGGAACAATAACAGAACAGATTTTATCGGTACAATTTCTTCGAAGAATAGGATTAAACATGGTCGAGTTGATTCGCGTGGTGTATAGAGAGTGATTCGAAAAAGGTTGTTCATGGCTTTTCAGAAATTCCCAATACCCTGCCATCCGCGAATCCCAAATCGGTCATTTTTCGCACGTATCGTCTATGGTCCGACCTGGAATTGAACGAAAATCTATCGTCAGGGACGGTTTTAGCATTGGGTCCGCGTAAGTGGATTCGGTACGAACGTTGAAGGCCGATAGGTGAAAACCTACTTGCCTACATTCGTACACCGTCGTCTGTGCATCTCGAATTCACCGCACAAATCTCATGGTTCGAGTCATCTAGTATATCGTGAGTTGTTTTTTTTTTTTTTTTTTTTTTTTCGAAAAAACACGTACCATTAAGTGGTCACAGGAAACATTTACCGGGCTAAGTGATCGTCTGAGGAGGTAGACTGAAATTTCTCGAATACGTGCAACGCATGCACATCACCGTTATTTGAGTATCGTTTCCATCGTGACGATCTACGTAATCTTCTTTTCGATATTTATAAACCATCGCGATCACAATAGTGAAATTGCTTTTCATTCTTTGAAATGAAATCTCATTCTATATTTTTCTCAATTATTTTTTGGTGCACAATTTGTTTCTTTGCATTATGGGACAGAATGTATAAAAGCATCGATGATTTTCCGAAACGCGTCAACGATTTCGGGTGGATTCGGTTCGTACGTATAGTTGTCGATCGTATGGCAGTCTGGTGTCATGAGTACAACGAGGTAACGGAGCGAAAACCCGGACATTCGGCAGGAATTTGGGACAGGTGGCCTAGTGGTCGCACGAGGCGAGCGTCTCTGATAATTGGCGATTAAACACGAGCGAGGCGTCCAATGATGGACCGGTTCGTTCGTTCAATATTCAACATTTTCTACTAACAATTACTTACACCATTCCATTAGTACACTTATTTAGAATGATTAGAGTTTCTATTCTTCTTCTTCTAAGTAATTGGAGATAGTTTTTTAAGAAAAGAAATTATTTTTTCAGCTGTGCATTTACAATACTCCACCGTGGACACTAACACGGTATGCGGTGGCGAATCTTCATTTTAGCCAGTCTCCTATTGAAGGGGGTAAGTAACTATAATACAAATATTTGTTAATAATTTTTCAAGAAATCAGATTGAATTATTTTGTGATAAAAAATGATGATTATAATAAAAGGGATAATTAGGATAAAAGTAGGTCACCTTTGAAACGAATTTTTGCAGTGAACCTTGCTAATAATATCTTTCGCATCCGCGATAAAAATTCCGCTAATTTCTCTCCGGTTAGAAGTGCATCGTTTAAAACACTCAGAGCATCATTCCCGCTAATGACTTTATCGTTTACTGCAACGCATCAAATACGTTAATGGTCTCGGCAAGCAGCGCAAGTAATTTCCTGTAGTCCCGAAAATGTGGTCTTCGATGTCGTTTCACGCTCTCGAACATCGCGTTCCTTGCCCGAAACAATTCAGCCTTCAATAAACGGTACTGAACGAGAAAGAAGAACGAGAAGAGGGAGAAAAAAAAAAAAGAAAAATGTATGCGGAGCATCGAATTGGTGGTCGAAAAAACGGTGCGGAGGCATGGAAAAAGCACGCGGCAAACGTTACAAAGGGGGTAGGTCGATGTGTCTGCGTGGGTAATTACTACATTATAACCCAGATATCGCGTTGGGTACATAGCCAGCAATGCCGTTACCCAGTGCTCTGACCCAGAGCTAAGGGCGACTCGCAGGCCCGCTCGATGTCTTGAAATGGTGCGCTGCGTTCCGATCCGGCTCATCCACGTCTACTACAAAGTAACGTTTTACCGTCGTCGGGGCCTTCACCACGAATCGCTGTTACAAGATTGCGCGCAAAAATCGCACACGAAACGACCGGTTCCGTGATCTTACCTTCCCACCCTGCATTCTTGGGGACCGACACGATTTCAATTCGTTCCTTACCTGTTCCTTTTTTTTTTTTTATCCTTTTCCTTCCTCCACCCGTTGCTCGAGCAGCGTTCATTCTTCAGGATCGGTGGAACATTTAAAATATTTTTCTGTCACCGATCGAAATTAATGATACCGCCCGTCTGTTATCATCGCGGTCGTTAGAACGCGAACGGCGATTCTGCGAAAAGGGAAATTTAATTTTACACGCGACACGCCGAATCTGCTACGGTTTTCTCATTTCTTTTTAAATAGAGCTCAGCATGTAAATTAGACTCTATTAATTATCAACGGACGCTTAATAAGTTGTACAGCATGCTGAGTTGCGAAGTATCATGGCAATTATTCACGTTTACCGGCTGGAAAGAACGTTTTGCCTCTGTTCTGGAATCGCGTTCGCAAAGTGGCACGTTAAAATGTTGCAGACATAATGAATGGCTCCCTCGTTCGTACCTACTTCTGCCGTACAACTTTCTATTTTGTTACCTGGTACGATGTAGATGTACATCGTGCATAATATTTCACGATCGCGTTCGAAGAAAGGTTGCTCCTTTTCGGTGATAAATCAATGAAATATAATACGTAATGTGTAAGGGATACTTTTGATCTATTATCTTTCTGTATTCACCTATAAAAGTATATCACGGCTAGCCATGAAAGATTACAGCAGGTAACATGGATCGAAGAGTAATGGTCCCTGCACGGGGTCGTTCGAGTGAATGAACCGCAGTAGGAATGAATGAAATACCTTCTAAGATGTAGAAGAAATTCCTCGAGATACTGGGTCACTCGTAGATGTTTACGTAGATAATTTCATTTTCTTTTCATGCGTAGTAAAAAATTCGTGTCCCAAATAATTCAAAGCTTAATCCTCGAAAGGAGTTAATTTTCAAAAGGGACAGAATTTGAAGTAAAAAATGAAATAAAAATTGGGCTTCTCTAGATGGTCCGTCGTCGGAGGGTTAAGATTCAAAGGGAATTAAAACCGTTTCGTCTGAAGGACGGTCATCGTCTTTTCCGGTCGACTACGTACCGCTGTCATCGAAATCCATCACGGGTTCGTTCACAGGTGACCCAGTAAGCTTTCGTCGAATTATGGGACGAGCTGGCTGGAAAGCCACGAGGAGATAAACAGATGTCGGAATCGTTGGAGGGCAGAGACGGAAAACCGAACGTGTATCCGAAGCCGCCTGTGCTGGCCGATTGACCTGCGGCTAAAGACACGGGTGGTCCGTTATGCCCCAGGGTCAGGAGTGACGCAATCAGCGACTACACTGGTGAACAGGCTGAGATGCTCCTATTCCGTCGTTTGGTTGCCCCTCCGAACCCGTCATTCGACGAACAGTCAGAACGGGTTTGTTGATCGGACGGTCTGTTGTCTCCCGTATTGGCCAGGAGGAATGCGCACGACCGGAGATAGCTCTTTGAGCGGATCTTCGGTCTGTGACAAGAGGCCAACGGATGAAAAATGCATCCGTTTTTGCACGAATCAACAGACTTTTACCTGTCCAGTGTCTGTCGGTCAAACTTGTCATTTCGTGACATCCATTTCAGTATTATAATCATTTATTACCCAGTGAAAACTGAGATTCAACTGGAGAAAATAAGTTGAAAATGGTATCAGGATTCTTGACGCTATTCTGTAGATGTAGACGTTTTACCTGTTTCGTTAGCACAGGTTAGCAAGGCTCGGTTAATCCTTTCGTCAAGATCGTGCGGAGTCAACTCACCGGGGTCGTTACACGATAATTCAGGTGAATACGTATGCACGGTTATACGCTGATTGCACCGGTGCGCTGGTGCGGTGATCTCGTCCGGGATAAAAGCGGTCCGTTCTTAAAGAACTTGCACGTCTGCAAATTATGTGGCCCGACAGCGTCAATCTACTTTCACGCTTTCTCATCGTTTATCCCTTTCCCCTTGATGGATGTTCTACAAAATATTTCACTACCTACTTTGCATGGGAACACGGGTACTGAACGATGCGGTTCGTTTTTATGTTCGCAGCTGGCTCGAGCCGAGGATGTGGAGGTAGTCGAGGCGATTCCAGGCGAGGATAACCGGAATGACAATTCAGCGTTGAATCGGCAAGACAACGACATAAACAGTTCCGATCAGTTGGCGTTAGAATCGTTAGGGGAGAAGGACGCAGGTGGTAATCATTACAAACCGGGAGGGCTGCGAGGGCATCCACTTCCGCTTCCACCGAGTCGAGGTGGTCTGGGTATGGCACATCCAAGACCGCATCACAACGTCGCTTATCACGGTCCGCCGCCTCCTTTGCCTCCTTCGAAGACACCGTCGGAAGCGATTGACAAGATCTACACGACGGGGGGTGGTATTAGCACAGCGGTAGGCGCGGAACCCTGGCCGGCACCCACGCCGGACATGCCGAAGATCATCTCACTAGACGTGAAGTGCGAGAAGAATCTGATGAAAGTTTATCTCGGCTTCGACAAACCGTTCTACGGTATAGTCTTCAGCAAGGGCCATTATAGCAACGTAAATTGCGTGCACTTGCCGGCGGGTTTAGGACGTACGTCGGTCAACTTCGAGATTAGCATACACGCATGTGGCACAGCCGGGAACACGGAAAATGGTTTATACGGGTACGGTGCCGAGTCCGGGTCGGGCACGTACTTCGAGAACATTATCGTGGTGCAGTACGATCCGCAAGTTCAAGAAGTTTGGGACCAAGCGCGTAAACTTCGGTGTACGTGGCACGATTTGTACGAGAAATCTGTCACCTTCCGTCCGTTCCCCGTCGACATGTTGGACGTGGTGCGAGCTGATTTCGCCGGCGACAACGTCGGCTGCTGGATGCAAATACAGGTCGGTAAAGGTCCATGGGCGTCGGAGGTATCAGGGCTGGTTAAGATCGGTCAAACGATGACGATGGTACTCGCGATAAAGGACGACGACTCGAAGTTCGATATGCTCGTGAGAAACTGCATGGCTCACGATGGTAAACGAGCCCCGATACAATTGGTAGATCAGAGAGGTTGCATTACCAGGCCTAAGCTGATGTCACGATTCACCAAGATCAAAAACTTCGGCGCCTCGGCTTCGGTGCTTTCCTACGCTCATTTCCAGGCATTCAAATTCCCCGACTCGATGGAAGTACACTTTCAATGCACCATACAGATATGCCGATACCAATGCCCCGAACAATGCTCCGAATCCCCTTTGCTGTTGGAATCGCAGGGTCTTCTGGAGAATCATCATCATCCACCGTCTAATGGACATCCCGATTCCAGCTACGGTCTTCCGCCTCCTGTTCCACTTCCCTTGGAAGCTTATTTGCAGGCGGCAGCTGGACGACCTAGGGACGAGAGGCGAAGAAAATCCCGAGAAATAGTACCGGCACCGCAAAAGGCGGTCGGAGTGAATCGAATAATACGGGTGGTATCCACCGGTGACCTAACGTTTTCCATCCACGATTCGAACAATGAGGAATCTAATGGACCGACGATGGTGTTTCCCGTACGTAACGAGAATACCGCGAACGCGGCTATGATTTGCATGACTACCCCAGGTTTTGCCGTTACTCTCATAGTACTTCTTGCCGTGTTACTTTCCTCCTGTATACTTTCCACCTACCTCTGTCTACGTCTAAGACCGTTCTCAGGAAAAGCTAAGAAGGCTACGACGTATTACAATGGAGAACAAAACGCTTCAAAAAAGTCGACTAGGACGTGTTTTTACTCGTAGGTACAAAACGGTCGCGGCAGTTTAGCAAACGGTACGCTGTCGATCGATGCAACTTTTTCTCTTTTTCCATCGCGCGAAGAATCATCGAATCATACGGGTCGTACATTTCCTGTGCGACACCGTTCGACTGCTTTCCTAGCGTTTAATTATCTGAAAAGGAAAAAAAAATATATATATATATTACGTATCATCGCGAACGCGTAGCATGTTCGTTCATTAGATCGAAAGTTAGACAGGCATTAACCCACTTTGTTATGGAGAGTTGCTCAATGAAACGTTACCAGATTCTCGATACTTGTACAGTATACATTCTGGTGACTTAGCTGTTATATTTATTTGTTCGATCGATCGAGACCGTTGGCAGACGATTTTTTAAGTTTTATTCATTGGATGTCGCAGAAACCGGTCCTCTTGGTCGCGCCATTCCAGGTAATCGTAGAGGCTACAGAATGTCGTAAGCACGATTCTGTATATCACCACGTACCAGACCGAGTATCCGTTCGTAATAAATCAAATAAAAAATAGGATACTCTCTGCTACGTGTATCGTGTACGATCGAGAATGATCGAACAGTACGGATTCGTGCTTCTTCGCAATAACGAAACTTACGCTCAAGCCCTGACAGGCGTTTCCGTGTATAGACATCAAAAGAAATTTAGTCAAAGATAATCAAACACTTTGCGCTCGCGACTCCCTTGTTACATTTATTTTCGGGACCATGGTACTTGGGTATTTTTATTTCCAATCGTTAACCGTTGCGCGTGTAACTCGGTTACGATTAAGGCTGAAATACTGCGAGAGAATAGTCTACGCATTAAGCAAAAACTATCGTTTTCTTGTTCTTTTAATATTGTTGACGATATTATTGTTTTAATATTATTTATTTGTATGCGTAATTTAATGTTCCAAATTTGTTCGGCTTTATACGCTGTATCTTGTGAACTTGTAACCAGCTGGTGATTATCAGGAAATGATTAAAAATATTAGCTCGATTTTATTCATTTTTCATTCGAATTAATAGGAATTTCACTTCAGTGAAGTGATTTTTTTGTAAGGTGTGTTGCCATGTGTAAGTAAGGAAAAATAATATTCATTTTTCTATAACGTTAGATTAGTAATTAACCCTTGGACGACGGACAATGGATAGAGCCCCAATTTTCATTTAATTTTGTACTTCATATTATTTTCATTTTTTAAATTTTACACTGTTTCTTCAAAAATTAAACATTTACAATTCAGTCACAATTGGTTCAGACTCCGCTGTTCAGAAGAGTTAATAAGTGTATCTGAAGGTACATAGCTAAAAAAAAAATTATCTATTTAATAAAAAAAAAAAAAAAAATACAAGATATCAAGATCAAATGTATAAAGCAATAGTCAGTAGCTTGTAATAGCACACGAAAGCTAATAATATAATATTTAATTGTAACTTAAGCACGTAGTTATAAAAATGTTTATAAATTATTTCTCGTTGATGAGACAATGTATTTCTTATGGAATTATTAGTGTTTCAACTTTTTTTTTTGTATATGAATAAATCTATCATTATATTTACCACGTTTTTTACATGGATATTCTCAATTTTATCGACTAGCAAAAGTATTTCAATCAAATATGTGACAAATGTTTTGTACTTTGGAGAATAAAAAAGTAGGAAGAAAGAAATCGTTGATTTTTGTGGAAATTGATCAAAGGTCCTGTAAATACATTTATTGGCATTACCATTGATTTGTGTTAAATAAAAACAACCTCTCGATTAACAATCGATTTAACTCTCTCTTTGTTCCTTTCCTTTGAAGCAGCATTTATTCAATTTCACGCATCGTTGAGCGCGTGATTAATGATTGCTATTCATAATTAGATAATCCTTCTTGCCTCTAAGCATACGACATTATTTCTTTTTTTCTTTACACGTGTATACATATATTTATAATCTATAAAGTAATCTAACGCGTTACAATTGTTCTGGCATTTCGCAAAACGTTTGGATGAATGAGTAAATAAAAGAGTATTTATCCAAACACCGCATCATTAATTAATCTGTTCATAAGGAGGGGAAGAAACATATGTGATTTCTTGTTTTTATTATAAACACGCAATAGGCAAATAAAAATGAAAAAAATTACGAAAAAGCCTCACGTTATTGTAGCTTCCGCACTTTTGTATTTGCATTCGTACGAATGCAATGAAATAGAAAAGTTTATTATATTCTCCAAATATACGCTCCTTAATTATATTTATAATTACGTATACGTGGTGTTTCAGGATCGACGAGTACAGAATCCCGTCCAGAGTATTAAACGTCTTCCTGGACGTTTAAAGTGCGTTAAAGATTCTTAAGTAAGTCTTAAATCTAGCTGTTTAATTCAAAAAATCCCGCTCAAGCCGCTTGATTTTCAACCGCATCGATCAATCGATTATCATTCGATCTCTAACCAGTAGTTGACACTAATGACGGAGAATGACCGGAAGAGCGAAAACAGAAGAAGCTGAGTATGGTACATAATCTTCGAGGCAAAGATTGATTTATTTTGGTTCGTAAATAAAACATTAATTAATTACTCTTTCTTTATTTATAATTATATGTAATAACTATTGTCGACAGGTGTCAACGAAAGGTTAAATAGATCAAAGTGTTCGGTCTTATCCTAACCTAACGATATACATATTTGAAAACGATAGAGATTTGAGCTTGACAGTAGCATCTTTAAGTTTCCTCAAAAATATTATATATACGATATTTCTATTCTTAAAAAGCTGTTACATTCAGCCTCTTTAAGGCTACTTTTAGAGATGCTGTTTGTCAAATATTTTCATTTGGCGTCGATAGTTAGCGCGATCGTCGCTAACGTGCATCTCGATACGGAACGATAATCGAACGCGGCAAATCATTATCGAATTGTCGCGTGGTGGTGCATCTAGCGTCCCTTCGAAGTCACCTATTTCTTCAGAAAAATGTAAGTATTATGCGCTTTTATCATACTTAATGTATCAATAAACGTAATATAAACTTGCGTTCGTATGTATAAGCTATCGGTTATCTTGATTTATTCGCGGGATGAGTCAATTTCGCGTTTCGTGTAGCGCTTCGTAAAAGCGTCATTGCGCCGGTTTCAACGTGTCGTTTAAATACGCGATAAAGCCGGGTATTATGTTTCACTTAGCGTCAAGACTGTTTTAAAGTAAAATAATATAGTAAATTATTTTACAGTTTGTGACATAATGGGTTAACATGGATCATCATTGCTTCCTCATTTATCATCGAGATGTTGGAAGCTGACTCGTTGCACATGGAACTTCGGGAGCTCAAAATGGCGGTTAAGGGTGAGTCACGTTTACGATACACGCTCTGTACGAATTACTAATTTCACGATTTTTTGTACGTCAAACATTGACGAGTACTTAAAAATCTACTTTATACATTTTAATTGTATATTTTAACTACTTTCGACTGATTTTAACTATAAACTATAAAAATAGAAAAAAAAAGATATAAAAAGATTCTTACTTAGTGTACATTTTGAGCAAAAATGAAATATTTTAACGTTATGTTAAAATGACTGAAAATTTAGAGTAATATTGAATTTCTGCAATTAAAGAAATCATTTTTATTTTATCTGGAAAAGATATTTATTGTTATTTGTTTAATAATAAATATCCTGATTTTTAAGAAACGTTTTGAGTAAAAATTTATGGAATACATACAGATTATAAAATTTCATACGTTTAATTAGTAATTCCTATATCGACGTATTATTAATTTTTCTTATATTTTATGTTGCTTGATTTTATTTTTGTTATACACTCGTTAGCAGCACCTCTAGTTAACTCAATATTAAATACAGATGTGAATATATGAAACACGTTATTACGATTTACGTAGAGAATAAAAAAGAATCTCATAAATCGCGACAGTTCGTATTCTACAGACTCGTAGAAAAATATCAATACGTTTCTTCTCGTTGTTTAATTATCTAAAGAAAAAGATACGTATCAAAAGCAGCGCCTCCTCCCCCATTATTTGTCTTTGACTCGATCAATCTAATATCGATCAAAGTTTCCTAACAATATCATTCGCAACGTTATAAAAAAATAGATATTTTTACAATATCCACAGTGTATTACACCGTTCCGTTGAATATCTCTCTTCTTTTTCGAATTCATCCTAGAACGAATAATTATCGTGATTATGCTCCTTACTTACCCAATACCAACAATTGCCTCTCAAAGATAAAAAGAAAAACAAATAATAATTACAATGTTTTCGTGTACGAAATTCATTGATAGAAAAAAAAAAACCGTCTTTATCGGGAATCTACTGAAAAGTTCGTCTCACAAAGGGAGATAGTATCTCCCAATTGAGTCTAGGCAGAGGTGGATCCAGAGGGGTAGAGATGGGACGTTTTTTATACCTCTATTTTAATAAAATAAATTATTTAGTCATATGTACTGTAATTATTTTGCTTTTAGTAATGCATAAATAATTCATTGATTACTTAGACTACTATTAGTTAAAAATATATTTTTATATATTTCATCCCCTCCAAGCAAGGCATCTAGATCCGCCTCTGAGTTTGAATAAATTATAACTCAATGATTTCTCTATTGAATTATAATTTACCTGGAGAGTGAATTTAGGGTGTTGAAAGTGGACTGGTCTGTTAGGAAGCAATAGATGTTAAACAGTATTGCAATTTCTCTAATTTCAAGTGGTAGGGGAGATAGAAAAGTTATGCTTTAAGATAGGGTGACTGAAAAATTTGGTAATAATAAGAAAGAAAAAAAATAAAAGATTCACTGTAGGACAATACATTTAACATCTATCTTTTCTCAGTTCAGCACCACTTTTACTTTTTCCAAAATTAACACTCCAAGTAAGCTACATCTTAAGTTTCTCCCCTAAAAGAAGTCGTCTGTCGACGGTAAAGACGAACGTGTCGCGTAATTAACGTGACATAATTCGTCAACGAAATATTGTCGCGCGTGATTGAACGCATTTAAAATACTTTGTACAGCGTATTATTGCACATTGTCTTTCGTGGTCAGACACAGAGTCGCGTGCCACTATCGGAGCGTAAAAGTCCAGGAATCGCGTCAACCTCTCTCGACCGCGGGACTGGTGGCGACTGGATTCGTTTGTTTTTGTTGAATTTGTTCAGGATGAGCTGGTCTTGCTGTGCAACGTACGCGGAGTAAACCGTATGGTAGCCAACCGTTGGTCGAGTGCACTGCTCTATTGTTCTTTCTGCTGTCGGCAGCCTCGCGTTGCGCTTGCAGCCGATGGAGCATCGCGCCTGCGACAAGAGCGGAAATGACCGCGGAAAGCGCCACCACGATGAACAACGCGCTGAAACCGGGCATTGGCAGGCAGATACCATAAACCACTTCCTCCCGTATTCTACCTTGGAAAACGGTTACCGCTTCCGCGTGAGTGTCCGGGCTAAAGGCTAGATCAGCCTCGGAGATCACCTCGTACAAACCGCTAACACCGACGTCCGCGCTACGGATTTTCCTATCGGACACTACGACCGATCTTTTTCGTCGACCGTTCGGAGACGAGAGAGGTGTTACCGGTATCGCGGCACTGTCCCCCTCGAGGTTCCGTGGTCCGTGCGGGAATTGATCTTGGTCGACCTCGTATCGCGTCACTCTCGGTGGTTCCTGAAAGCAAAGGGTCGGAATTTAGCACTGGGAAAACAATAGGCGCGAAAGCTTTTTAAGGGAAGTGGTCGATTTCTAGGGTTCTAGGGTACATAGTAAATATAAATAAATAAATTTATATTTACTAAGAACGGTCTCGAAAGATCGCCATCCTCCTGTTGAGCTTCCTCGTTCGGTGTCTCGACTACTGGCGCCGGTAGCCGGTTACTCGTCTGCGCTTGAGCCTTGGGAACTGACTTCTCGACCCCCAAGAAATGACCTCCTATCGAGGTCATCTCATCACCATCTTGAATGATATCATCGTACTGGGAAGCGTCAGCTTGATCAGGTCCTCCCACGTTTTCGTTATTCTTGTCGGCGCTGTTGTTGTCGTCGTTGTTGTGAATTATGGGCGGTGCTGTGGTCTGCGGGTACTGCGGTCGTATCTGATCCTTTCGCTCTTGAATGTAGTGGCCGACAGATCCACTGAGTTGACAGTGATCCAAACACCCGTGACGACAGATCTCAACCTTGACATTGATCGAAACTACTATTACTCGTGTACCGCCTCCTCCTCGTTCTTCTCTTTTGTCTCTTAAAACCACGCGGTTAATTTGCATAACGAACCATTAAATCGTCATTGTTCGCCAAATGAAAGTTTATTAAAACGTCCTCGCCGATGTTTGACGGCAAATATTTGCTCCTCGGCTTCGCGAAACACCTCTCGAAGTTAACGCGGGATAATGTTTCTCGCTGTCGGTAATCGTGTTCCCGATCGTGACTCGTTTCACGCGTAGTATATTACCCAACATCATTTACCTTGCACTTGATGTGCACGCTCAACGCGTCCGGGAACTTGAACGCGTGGAAGAAGGCGTAAGTGATGACTGTTGCCCGGTCGTCGGAGCCTCGCGCCTTCAGGAATCGGCTGATCATCTTCGGCCTGAGGACGCATCCGAACTCGTCGCTCAATTGTATCGTGTGCCCTCCGCCGTCCGATGCCACGCATGATTTCACGCGCATGTCGAATTCTCCTATATTAATATTAATTAGAAGAGAAATTACAATAACATTTACTTCGACCCTCGAAAGTTTCGATTTCTTTGGTTGTTTATTTTATCTGTGAAATTTCGACGAGGGAACTCGTTAATTTCCCAAAGATCGTTGTTAATTACCTCGGTAATCGTTTATGGCGACGACCAGTGTGAGGGTGGATCCGAGTGGTACTATCCCGGAAACCGGAGGTGCCCACGGTCCCTTGCCGTGTTGAATTTCCATCCAACAGTCCACGTTGTCGCCTGAAATATCGATAGAACATCGGGTTGGTATTAGTGCTCGGTTTCGAAAGGTCTCTCTCTCTCTCTCTCTAAGCGTACTAAACGTGCCAGGTGCGATTTATACTTGTTGCATAAAGTGAAATTAAGTGGTGCGGCTGCGGTTCCACCTGTGGTCAACCGCGGCTACACGAGTTACCGTGCGCGGTTCGATCATTTACCACGTATTAAACTCTTTGTACACACGTACACACGATAAGAGAGGGAAGTGAAAAGAGAATCTACGTGTACATACGTGGACTCGCGTCCGGTTAAATGTGACTGACGTAAATCCCTTGAAGTCGGTAAATTGAATTTCAAGTAACTTGATATCTATCCTATTTATCGGTGTCGTCGCGTTTCCGTGAAAGGATTGTATAATTTATTTAGTCAAGTTACGTTCACGTTTACAAAGTAATGTGCACACTCGATAACACTATATGTACCTCGGAAGTCTAACTGTATAACGTCCAGATCCGCGATCACCATTGGCGGTTTCGAGGCAGTCTTTTCGTAATCGTTGAACCATTCGCATCGTAATCGTTTCGCCTCGTCCCAGACCTCTAGTAAATCCTTGTCGTACTGCACGACAACGGTATTCTCGTAGAATTGTCCATGCATGTCCGGTTTGGTGCCGCATCTGTGATCAAACGAACAAAATCTCCTCCTAGTGTCACTTAATAAGTTCATTACATTCTCTTTTAAATTCTTTCCCTTAAAAATTCTTCTTCTTCTCGGTCACAATTGACCCAGGCTCTACTGCTCAAGGGTTATATTTTTATTTCTAAAATACATTAGCTATTTTCTGAAAAGAAATGATTCTCAAGACTTTACAAATAAGCTAGGTTCGTTTTCATAAATATTTTAAAATCGCAACGAGTCTCGTAGAGATAAAATGAATCGAGATCAATTAAGTACCTGTCGAATAACTCCTAGTTAAGCTTGTTTGATTATCCAATTACTCGTTGATCGTGGTTGAAAAACGATGAGTTCCATTCAAAGTCATAACTTAGCAATTCTCCACGCGATAAATTGTGGAGCGTAATCGATTGCGTGCATTAACGTTTCCACACGCTTTAAATCCTCCGATCGAGCCCGACGGTGCTTCCTCGTAAAGATCATTTCACGGATAGACACGGTCCGATGAACGGCACCGAAATCTCACGGTTCTTACCTCGCGTAGGCTATCCGAAATGAGAAGAAGGTTTGCCCGGTAGACGGTGGAACGTAGACGCATCGCGGATCAGCGTGTTGACCCTTGGACGAGACTATCCCTTCAAAGGGTTGGGAAAACGAGAGATGCACATCCATGTGATCCTTTCCGCACATCACTTCGAGAGATTGTATGGCTGGCATTCCCTCTGGCCTCTCCAGTGGCCAAATATCGCCGTTGCTACCGACGCTCTTAAAGCCAACCACCTGCACACATTAAAAAGAAGAAATAAGGCTGAGGAACGGTACCGAAATCCGAGCTTTGATTTATTTCATCAAAAAACATCTCCAAATCGTATCTCCACTTTTTGTCAAATATTATGACATAGACAAATTACATTCCTTCGTTTTTATATCAGAAATAATGGCAAACGATGACAGAATTTTTTCACGTTAACGAAGGGTCCGACTTTGTTGCCTTTTTTTTTCTACATTTTTCCACCTTGAACTCGACGACCCCTCTTCCTTTCTCACTGATGTTGTAAGTACTGAGAACTCGCTACCATGGGACTAAATACCGTAAAACGTACCTCCTATGAATATCGTTCAACCGAGTATCTCGAAGTTACGCGTGTAAATCAAAGAGTTAACGGTGTCCGGGCCATTGTGTCCGGGATTTATTACTAGTTTAGCGAGACCTTTACGATTCGCGTCTGTATCTGAAGATTTCATTAACTTGTCGTCTAGGAAATTACAAAAGCTAGTGAACAGGCTACCATGATCATCACGGCGAACCATTACTAGAAGGGGTTTTTGCCTTTCCTCGCGCAAAACATCGATCGCATCAATCATTTCCAAAGTGGACCTTCTGTTCAAGTTACTTTTGTCTATAGGTTAATTTATCTTGGCCTTTCGCCTGCCATTATCTCAATTTATTACAAGTTAAAATGCTATAAAGTTTGTTAGAGACGTTAAATAAAAAATTCAGCTGGTTCGAGTTTGATTTCGTTATAATGAAAGTTTACCTGTTTAAGTTATAGCAATTCTAATTCTTATAAATCTATAAACTTGCGTGGAATTGTAGACGATCGCAAATTGTAGAATTTCACGATATAACACCTTCGTGTTAAACGAATTTGATTGAATAGCAGGATAGCAAGGCTTGCGGTATAGTTACCTAGATATACATATACCTAACCGTTATAAAATTTTAACGTTAGTGACGCTCTGATAATCAATAAAATAATATCGTCGATTTTTATCCTAAATTAGAAGAATTTTACAGACATACTATATTCTGTTTTTCATTAGCAAGTTCAGATAAACATGTTGTCATACAACTGTTCGTAACACTTCAGATAAGCTCACCGCTTCATACGTATAATTATGCGGAACAAATCTAACGCTAATTGAGAAAATTACTTGATAGTAATTCAGGTTCAATTATTTTAGATTGTGTGAACCCAAGCAAACTCACAATACAGTACTTAAGTTGTTAATTACTGTGCTGAATATTTCACAACTAAAGAGTGTTTTAATTGATTAAAATTTGCAGTAGATCAAGAAATTAGAAGAAAAAAAAATTGCAGAAATTTTTCAGGTCCGAATTAAGGATAGATCTAAGGGGGGTTGTAGTTTTGGATTGAATAAGTTCAACATTAAATGCTATGTAAAATTTATAGTATAGGCATTAATTAAACCATCAGTTTTTGGCGGATGCCAAATTACTTTTGCATACTACAAGCGAATTACCGTGGGACGTTTTATGTTGCACGAAACAGATATTCAACGACTGGTTATAAAAACGATTCATCGTTCATTACACGTACCGTTCAATGCACGGGAGACACCCATGAGTCGTGAATCGTGAAGTTACGATCGTGTGTACACCTACTACACAAGCCGCCACCTCCGCGCAGATCATTCCACGCGATGAATCGTAATAAACAAGCAATGTACACGCGGTGTAAGGTGCGGGCTACGAGCCGGTAAAAAAAGTACCAACGTTTGAGATCTCAGTTACGAACGAAAATGCAAATCGCGCAACACGATATCGACGATCGTAAGACGTCTTTCCGCAACGTGTTTCCCGAACGTGTTTCTCAACGGCCAGCGTTATCCCGCGTTATCGGTGATTTCGCATTTCGCGTATCTTTATTTTCAATTTCAACCCGTGATTATACCATTAGCCGTGTCGTAAATAACTATTGCACCTGCGGTATTCTTCTTCGATCGGAAATTTCACGCGATGAACAGACATTTCCCACGCGCGTGGAATCACTTGGCGGAATCTATTAGATTGCTTTCACGGTGTATTAAACGCGTTTGAAATAGTGTAACGATTTATGAATTTTTTTGTTCACATGCGAGAAACAAGGTGTCTCGATTCACCGCGACCGTGAAATATCTTAGAATCGTACCGGAGCAGATCCTGGGAGATTAGGCGGGTTAGTTATGTGCTTTTCTAGAAAATCGACCTCTCCGTTCCCGGTGCATTCTTTCGTTACGTGTTTGGCTGTATTAGCTGGACGAGCGAGCGGAACCGAGTCGAAGAAGATCCGCGACACGTACGGCACACGTAAGTGAGCATCGTTGAAGGAAAGGTGTTCCCCGCGTGTATACACCGATGCTCGCGCAATGCTGTAACGGGAGAGGCGTCTTTACCGCTGCATTAACGGTCGACGTTTTTCGCGCAAGTGAAAACAAGTTTCTGCGCTCTTACAATCGCACTGTTAAATGACAACGTTTCATTAGAAATGATTACGCACCTGGCGTACGCGGGCCACGCGTTTGTGTGCGTCTACGAGCATGCTCGTTTTTGTTTCACCCATCGTCTCTTGCCGAGCCACCCCGTTCACGGTCGATGATCGAGAATCGACGAGTCGATAGATATAGACAGTGCCTTTTCATATTCTTTACAGCGATGTTGTTCAAATAACCTATCAATCTTGCACGGTACAGTATAATTTAGGCAACGTTCTTGAGACTACTTTTGTATAAAAATGAAGTTTTTCAAATTTTAACGTGAATAGCTTACTTTCATCTTTCGACTCATTATTCCAATGCACGATTTAAGTAGATATTACTGCATCGTTAACGTAATTGCTTTTATATTACCATTAAAGTTCTTAATTGCTCATATTTAATTGCCATAAATATTACCACTCCATTTTGTCTTGAAGATATTACCTTGTTACGGGACCGGTTCGAACTTGTACTTAATTATACGTATCGTAATTAGTTAATGAAACATTGGAATAATAGAATGTTCAGGTAGTATTCAGATAACGAGGAGCATTATTGTAATATTGTAGAGTCAATTAAGGGAGAATATATTTTTTCAAATGGTTATTAGCGTACTCTGTATGAATCAGTTGTTACTTTTAAACAACATCCCTGAATAATATCTCGTACATTGATCGCGAGGGTACAGGGAATACGAGACGCAATAAAAGTTCTCGTTTAACATCGTTTCCCATGAAACGAGCTCGTATCTGGGCAAAACGAAATCGGTACAGTGGAAATTCTGAAAGTCACGCGACAATCGCGGCTTTTTCTCGGCTATGTATCAAAGAAAGACAGTACGCTCGTGCTCCCGAACGTGAAACGAATGGCAAGAACGATATTTATATTACACTTTGCAAGCGGATGCAATTCGCGGTGTATAGCCTTTACGATTGCACGGCAGTTCGTTACAGCTGCTAGTGTATCAGTATTCTGAGTTATTCGAACGCAAGGCATGCCGATAGTTGAGTTTCCCATCGCGGCTCCTCTGGCGTTCGAATACTAATGCTCGAGTCTCTCTTTGTAACCGATTGTACTCCTCGTGACACGCGGAAACAGCTTCCTCTGCATTCGTTTATGCACTTGTCTAGGCCCGAGACAAGCAACTCACGTTCTCTTAAGTAGACACCAATAAAGACTTTGATTTTCTTTTTCAAAAATTTAAAATAGCTTCAGGATTTGTTGGGAAAATTCGTTGAAACTTGTGAAGTTGAAAATTCTGTTGAAGAAATTTTGAAAGATGATATGGGATCCAAGTGGGCACAATAATCTTTCCTTCCTCAGGTTGTTGAATAGATAATTTCTAAGATGTCTAACTTCAGTACTCATTTTGTCGCTAATGGATGTAATTGCATAAAAATGCAATTACTGTCAGCAGAGATAATGCATCTCTTGTCCGAACCGTTATAGGCGGTCTTGCAGTTCTGTAGAATTATAATCATTTCGGTTGATGTAATATTAGTAGAACAGTAGAACAGAGTTGTTCTCAGCGTAGTTCTTACCGGATATCGGGAAAATAAAAAATAGAATACTTGTTTGTTCAACGAGAAACGAAGATTGTTTGTTTAACGGTATAAGAAAACTAACAAGTCTAAGATGTTCTTCTATGAGGATTCCATGCCCATTTGTTAATATTTACAACCGCAATCATTGGTGTAACAAAAATTTTATTCAGGTTGGGTCAGGTCTTTTGGAAACATAGAAATTTAGGAATTGGAGTTTTGTAATTTTTTAAATAATACTTTTCAGTTGTACAACTTCTCAGTTGTTCTGATATTAATAATAAATTCGTTCTGGTAATAATTAGAGTAATTCAATTATTCCATTAGCAAGCAAAGTTAAACTCTAATTCGATTTACTCCAATTTAAACTGCTCAAGCTTCCGCAAAATATTTGAATATTTCATATCCTTCGGGTTTGTTGATCTAAATTTTATTCAATTACTGTTTCCGGGTAGTTGATCGATTCGCCTTCGGCCCGTCTCAATTACTCCGTTTTACGTACGGAATTAGTCATGAAAATCTATTCGATGCGTTGTAAATGAAAAGGAACAGGAAGGAAATCGTTCGTACTGACGTATCTTGGGAGGTATAGAGAAATGCGGCGGGTACGTGTACCGTGTATGTATACGGAAGCGCATAAATTTGCAAGGTGCAAGCACGCGAGAGGAGGACGCGTTTCCTGCGCGAAACCGCAATAAGAGGTCTCACTCGACAGAGGCAATAACGTCGTGGGGGCAATAGGTTGTGCAGGGGTCCTGAATAACTTTCAGAGGAAGCAGGTGCCGAGGGAATAAGAGGAAAAGAAGGTCGTAAGACACGCGTAACGGTACGTAGAGTAGGCACAGAATATCCGCTTGCAAGCTGTCGCGTCTCCTGCTGCGTCATCGCATTGTCATCGAACTATGACGAATTTTTCATTAGCAGTTATTTCGAAACACCGAAGCCACCTCTTACACCTTTCTTTCACATACTTTCTATCATTTCTTCCTTCTCCTTCTCTTATCATTAACTCTCGTATGGTAGAAACATATACATTTTTTTTTTCATTTTATCAACCTCTATTCCCTTCCTCTCGATGGTTTCTCGTTTTGGAAACGGTATCTCTGCTTCCGAGAGTTTGGCTGGTAAGGCCGTTAGCCTTTAATTAAGGGATCTATGAGTATCGCGACGTCAGCAAACATACTCGAAATTATAGGCCATTATCGGAATTGCTGGCCGTAGTTCAGCGTGTTCTAGGGCTTAATTGGCCGACAAAAGGAACGGATAACAGATAACAGAGACGGAACGTACGAAGAATCGTGTGAATAGTTGACCGGTTCAATGGGCGCAGCTTTATTGCATAGGTATTTCAAGTATGCATACGTGAACGTTGTTTAATGGTATCCACAACTCGTTTTTCACGTTTCCTGTGTAATAATTTTCTGGTTGCATGAAAATTTGCGAACACGCTTCTGGTTCTAAATAATCGACATAAAAGAGATCGTACAAGTTTCATTGAGAAAAAAAAGATAAATGGAAAAAGTGCAGTTGCACTTTTTCATGCACCATTGCACTTAAGAGAAGAAGCAGTACATAAAACTTGTTTAGAAGGTAAACTGATCAACTTCATAAAAATATGATGATACTGGAAACATCATTTTTTAAAATTTATTATACCTGGAAGTTTTCAATAAACAAATGTCATGTAGTGAATCGTATAAGATACGGGTTTAGTATTCAAGTTCCCATTCTATTTCCATTATTCATCCAAGCGAGCTCCAACAATCATTTACACATTATGCGAGAAAGTAGCATACCTTCGTCTGAACGTCATTCAATTGCCTTCTTTCTTATTGTTTGAAACCTACAGGAAGCTCAATCACCATCATCCGACCCGGTTACCATACTTATTTATCGGTATCATCAATGAAACTTCTAAATGAACGTTTTCCATATGCAGGCATTGCACAAGACCGAAACCGTTAGGCCAATATTGAATTACACTTTTCCATGTGGGTTTGCACGTACCGGTATCGTTATTTGCCCGCGTTATGGGAGTACATTCGCGATCAAATCAGACTGCTCCAGGGAAAATGGTAGTGTCTCCTGTGGGCGGCCTCAAGGAGCTTTATATTATTTATTTCCCAAGTCCTTTAATTTAATTTTGTAAATTTGGGTTTCGATTAACCCAGACTTCGCTGTTCAAGTATTACTGTAAAAATGAAGATTTAAAAAATTTCTGCTCCTCCTATATCGCAATTAGAGAAACCTGATTTGATCGGAAGTGTACTATGCGCGTACATGGTAATTGCTGTATCACTCACCATATAGATCAGCATACGTAGCAACCTCCACACCCCTGGCATCCTGGAGGTCCCAGCCTCTCACGATGAGATACGCTTCCCTGAAAAGACAAACGCGTGTCATTAGAAACTGGGTTTCTAAGTGTCGGGCGTAAAAGGAATTCTTCGCAGCCGGATCTATTTTAATTTATCCGACCACCATGGTCTAGCGAGCAAATTAACTGAACACCGTCCGCGCCAGGTCGCGGTTCGAATCCCAAGGAGGTCTCGGCGCAAAATTGATTTGCCGAGAGAAATCATGGTTATGGGGTTTCGAGTGTACGCGTGCTCGATCCGTTCTGTAGAATCAGGATACGCGACGTTCCTCCAATCTAGATACACAGGCGTTGATTAACTCATTAAGGAACAGATTTTTTCTTTACCTCCGATACAGATAATTAATTAAAGTAAAATTAAAGTTTGGACAAAATATAGAATCTCTTGGTATTGAATTAAGAATGCTTAGTAAGTTAATAGCAAAATATTCATTAATCAATTTTCATTGGAATTTTTCCAATCGTACCACCGGGTTACATGACACATTGTGTATTAATGACCGCGTGAGAACGTGCACATACATCTTCCGCAGTCAAAGGGTTAAAGTACCTTCAATATAGACATTAAAGAAGTATTGAATCCGGTAGATGACGAATGAGATAAACGACTGCCGCTTAACGACTTTCATTTATTTTCATACCGGTATTTCTATCCTCCATTAGTATTGACCCAGCCGATGATTAGCGTTCGATTAGTTACACCGATGTGTTGCACAGATAGTTCCGCGTTGTCTTCGTTTGACAGAAAGAAAAAGAAGGAATGGAAAAAATACTTAACAACCGAAAGGGAGGTGGTTATAGCCAACACGATTTGTAGTTCGTGTCCGACCTACTTATTTACCAAGCACACTTTGTTGCTTCGAATGTAGTCGAATCGAAGTTGCTAATTAATCGATAAGGTTACCGGTTCGGTTAGTTTCTTCTTTTCCACGTTTCATCCCCTTAACATCGTTTTAATCGCGCATAGTAAATTCTAGGATCAACGGTAAAAAATTCGATACTATTCGATACGATATCATACTCGTAATTAGTAAGTTGGAATCAATAATACCGTATCCTTTTGATAACCAAGCAACGCGACCGGTATTTTTACTTTGATAGCAACAATATCTCGTCCGATGAACCTCGTCGTCATCGTTCGAGTGCAAACGATGGAACGGGAGAAAATGATAATTACGATAGCACGATCGTTCGGATTTGTCGATACACGTAAAATGTAAAAGAAACGACGCGATTCAATCGGTATCGACGAATACCGATCGATTCGAAGTTTCAATTTCACACTTGGAAAAATCAAAGGGGAATTAAAGCGATACAGGTATACGGAATTACCGGAGGAAATAAAATGTACGCGAAATAAAAATAAAATTAATGATCATCGTGTCCGGAGACTGAAACCTGTTCTCCGTGACCATTCATAAAACTCGACGACTGTGGTCCGCTTCGTTGTAACGCGTCTCACCGGATGCTTCAACCGATTTCGACATTGACGAAATATTCGGCGGCGAACATCAATCGTCGAATGTCTAATGGACAAACCTGTCTATGATATTTGTTATTAGCTTCATCATTGTCTGAGGTACACCAGAAATTGGAGTATTTGAAATTACGGATAGTCGAATAAATTTGGGTCATTACTCGACCCAACCCGATCGGAGACAAATGAACAGAGATCTTCTAATAATTAGTTAGATTCTCTGATAGGAGTGTTCGAAAGGATTTATTTCTTCGTCTCCATTTCAGCTTAACTCTATCAGTTTTTTATCGAACTCGATTACTAATCGTCAAATCCCCACCCTGTCCATTTTTTACCACCCTTTCGTTGCCTTTCGGGACGTGCTTGCCGCGTATTGGATCATCCTTTTTGCGGGATCTCGTTCTAACAAGGACGATGTTTTTACCGAAGTGTCTGGGAACCGAAGGAGCCTCGTTCTTCTGGATCTACGATCCACCAATTCAGACGAGCTGACCGCGATTCGAGTTCCTTCACTTTTTCTCCTGTCCTCGTCGTCAACTTTTAATACGATCCGTTACTCTTCTACGTACAATACCGAGCTCCATTCTTTTCTACTAGATTCCCTGGTTACAGTTTCAATAGCGATTCGAAAGATAAAAAAGCCACGGCTTTTCAAGTAACGAATACTCTTTGAACGCGAAGCAAAATCGTGATCGCATCGTCAGGAGCGATTCTCCTACCGTCGAATCGCTGCTCTTTCATTTAGCAGAGATTCGAAGCGAGGAAAAAGGGTATTGTGTTGATACTAAAACGTATTTAGGTTCGAGCATCACGATGTCAATTGTAAAGAGGTTCCTACCGTGGGATAGACGAAACTAAAGAATCGTCCGACTGTTCGAGCGCGATCGTGTACAGTCGAGGCACGATACCGATACATCGTAGGTACGTACGTTAATTAAAATTGAGTTTACTACTATGTTACTGTACGCATAAGTGGCACGTCACGGATTAGCGGTGATCTACGTGTGCGGTTTGCGTACTGACGACCGGTTAGCACGAGCGCTCTATCGCCTGTTGTATTTAATTAAGCCTGTTACGACGCCTACGGAGGGAAACGCCTCTTCCCTTGCCTTTGCGATCTGGATTCACGTTAACGAATACCAAACGATTACCGCTGATTGGTTAATGACTTTGTCCGGTAAAAGAACCATCCTACCCGTGTTTATCCTTCCGGAACGATCGATGAGGATAAACCGACGATAGCCACTAAAACACCGTAAAATTACGCTAGTCGGAATCGGATTAAGCTTCTGGCAAAAACCTGATCACGTTTCGCGTTATTTAGTCTCTTTGCGGTACGTGTTTTTCTTAGCCATACTCTTTGACGAATCTCTGAAATACACACAGTTTCGATTCGACTATCTTCTTGTCGAATTTTTTGTTAATTCGATATTCTCGAAGGTAAATATTGAGCTGTTCGGATTTGACGGTTGAATCAAGAAGAATTTTGGTAAATCGCGTGGGAATTTGGTTGATTCTCACTTAGAATTCGTTGTGAGAAGAAAGAAATAACGTATGTTAGTAGTTCTACCGGTTAACGTTTCCACGAAATTCTGAAATGAAACGTTTTAAGCATTCGCGATCACAAAGATACGAGCGGGATCGCGAGTACGCTTCGAGGAAAATGTTTTTTACTTATAAATTTTAATGGGGCTACCTGTGCGAACAGGAAATGTTAATTAACTAATTATAACGAAGACATAAAAGTAGCCTGGCCTATATACATACATACATATTCCCCTTAGCCTAGATTCGGTAATGTGTTAGTCGACTGAGAATGAACCGCAGAATTGATTGACACGCAGCGTTATCCTTTAGGCTGCATTAATTGGAACGCCTATTAAGTAACTCGTGCATGCAAAACTTTTACACCACTGTTGCTGCCATCAGCGTCACTATGATCGCCCCCTGTCGCCGATCTCTAACCACCGTTGCTATCATTATCCTTAGCACTGTTATTACTCTGGTAACTAGCATTCTCGTGTTTATCGCTTACTATACAAGGTGTATCATAATATACGAGCATAGCTCCACTAGTAGATTCAGTAGATATAGTCATGGAAGGCAAACTTTGCTTCTTATAGACTATTATTTAAAAATTTTTATATTATTAATGCTGAATTCAGCATTAAAATAAATGTCCACAAAGTATGGTACAGCCTGTAGAATAAAATCAGCCTCTTTCGTGCTTCTGACTACGTGACACGGGAAAATCGAGCCTCTCGTGACTGCTGATCGATCGTTTGTTGATTTAAACTAACGATCGAGATCCCAATCATCCACCGATTCTTCTTCGAACACGTACTTCTCTTGAATTTCCCACGTACGCTCGTTCTTACGATTATTGCTCTCGACGCGATGAAAAATCACGGATACCGATGATGGCACGCGGGAAGAGACACAGAAAGATATCCTCGGAATGTATCGTTGTTGAAATACCTTGAAGGGCAATTCGAATCGTGCCATCTTCGTAACGGTGTCCCATGCTTGCCACTTCTGCGACTCGCGATAGGTCCCACGCTAATCATTTCCTCGTGGCATCCTTTCATGAGATCCTTGCTGCGTGCTTTTCTCAGACGATTCTCCGTTTCATTGGTTCGACGAAACCGGACGCGTGGCGTCCCCTGGTAATTCCTTTTCCCGAGTAAATCGCGCCGCAAATCTCTTGATCGTGTTAGTTACGACTTCAGATAACTTCGTTTCTGTTCTACCCGTTTATTTTGTTATACGGTACAACCTTGTAAAATGATTTGCTTCGGATGCTTCAACGGAAGTGTGCAAAGAATAATCAATGGCAGATGTGATAAATAATTAGAGACATTTAAAATGACAGTCGATCCATGTAATGGTAATGATAATTGATTGTCTATGAAGTTACTAATGGCACAGGATAAGAAAGATAGTATGATCTACGTAAGCTTTTTATTATATTTTCACTTTTCATTAAATATTAGATTATGTTCTCTGAAAATGAATGAAAATAGTATAACAGAAGGAACGAGGAAGAAAATGATAAAAAAGTGATATAACTCAAGCATTTTAGAGACATTGATGCAATTACTAAATTAGATCTTCTAACGTGACGCTTGATAATTAATTACCTATCATTAGATTCGCGAGAGGAAATTTTTCAATTTTTGAAATGAATAAAAATAATTCCATACAAAACAATGGATCGTTTATTAATAGTAGGTACATTCTAAAAGTGAAAATCGTTGTTAATCGGTTTCACTATTGATACAGGCTTTTGATCGATGACTGTAAATCAAGATTTACAGACTCTATGGTATTTTCTACGCGTACACCGGAAATTTCTTAGGGTCTAGTAAAGTATTCAAGGAATGTGCTAGGAACATATGTATGTATGTCGGTTGGGTTTGGAAGAATTCGTAGATCCTTCGTAGCAGTTGTCGTTAATTCTCACGTTTCTCACGTGTAATTTGTAAGTGTCACCAAAGTGAACGGTAACTTATTCCGAAACCATCAGGAG